CTGGACTCTAGATCAAATGTGTTTTTTTTCCAGTGCACCGAATTTAATTTTTGCTCGACTTTATTACATTACTTGACTTTTTCACGCGAGATCTCTAAGATGTATTGTCTCTGCCTGGCTGTAGAAAGCAACAACGTAACGAACTAACGACTGAAAGAGTTCACGTGCACAGAGAGTTCAAGGTGTGGTGCAAAGAATCGAGATCACCATTGTTGGAGCGAGAGAGAAAACTGCGGCACACGCGAGGTGCCGCGGGAATCCGGGAAATTAACCGCGGCTCGGAGTTATTTTAAGGCGAAATCGACGGGCCGCGAAACCCGTCCCTTGAATAATAGAGCATTCAATAATCTTCCAAAAAGGTGTAGACGCGCCGCGATATCGCTGCCTTTGAATTTTTCACCGACTTATTGCAGCCGAGCGCTCCGCCCTCCCGAGAGCTTTCCCGGCAACCATTTTTCTTTAGGCCCGAGTTTCGGGGTCCCACCGCAGCTTCCGGCTTAGGCCCTCGCCCGTTTAAAAAGTTATTTATCGCTTCGCTTCTCTTGTTGAATACGCTCCCAGGCGGGGCCCGGCGTATAACTCAAGCGCGACTCACCGAAATGTTCCTCAAAATGATTTCTGAATGACTCCGACGAATGCTTCCTGTATTTCCGGATTGGAGAGTCATGTGTGAACAGTTTTTAGAGCGAATAATTTTAATAATCACACCTGTTTATTTTTTGAGCACTGGATTCCTTTTTTAAATTATCGACGTGAAGATTTCGCACGTTGGTCCATCAAGTTTACCAAAGAAGAGGGATACAATCGGAAATGAGGGTATTGAGGTTGATATGTCGATTATATCGATTGATCTTCAGATATACCGATCGATTTCGATATAGCATATATTCTCTCCTTCTTCCTCTTGTTCTTCTTCTTCTTATTATTCCTTGCCCCCTTCCCAGTCTTCTTCCTATCCTTTCATTATTCTAATTCCTCTTCTTCCATTTTCTTGATTTTCATCTTTTTTCTTTCTCTTCATATCTTCCATCATCTTCCTTTCTTTTTCTCCTCTTTTTCTTTTTTCCTGTCATTTTTATTCTCTTATAACTTCATTCTTCTAAGAACGTAACTATACATTTCAAAGGCTAAATTTTTACTTTCAAATCTTTTGTTTTTCACTGGAAAACCACTGGACGTTTCTAAATTAAAGTTTCAATGATAGTTCCTCCGATAGCACGAAAAACGAGGACAGTTTTGGACATACATGGTGACAAGTCGCATAGTCTTGTTGAATATTGAATTTTTAAGTTAATTTTGCAACATAGGAATGGAGTAACGTTCCTTTGCCTGCCTAACTGCCTAATTTTGCCTGCCTAATTTTTGCAACTGTGTATCCTTATTTCAAACAGCTGCAATTGATGCTGTGCGAATTCCTAACATCGATATTGATGTAAATGCCTTTGATAGAGCATTTTTGAATTATAACATTGTTAATCTTTTTTTAAAAACTGAAGAAAAAAAAACAAAAAAAAACATAAATGTAGAGCTTGACAACAATTGCTCGAGGAGAAGAATAATTTTTCAGCTGGGATTGATTGCGCAACAGCGGGATGCTGGGAAGCAACTTCAGTTAAAGGCGCTGTGTCAGAGCATTCGGAATCGCTGTTTGATGACGACAAAATCAATCATCCAGTGGTAATTGGCCCCGGACACACGCCGTTGCCGCCCCGGACATCTGCATCGGCCGCGGCACCGCCTTTTCGCACCGCAAACACCGGGGTTGTTTTTTGTTTTTGTTTTTATCATCATCGCCGCACAAGCACAGCGCACAGTCGCCAAAAACAGGAGGAAAAACAGCCGAAAAATGTCTCCGTCAGTTGCCGCGAAATCGTCACCTTCCGGCCAAAGTATCACAAGCGCCATGAAAAGTTTAAAAATTTCCGCCGCCTTTTTATTTTTTTACAAATAAATTGTTCAACGATGCTGTCCGAAAATTTCACAGATTTTTTTTTCGTGCTGCCGATAAAATTCAGTGACATTTTCAAACAGATTCAATGAACGATCTCTCTGTAAAAAAATGAAATGGCGGCGGAACTTTTTAAACGTCACATGGCGCTTGTGATCCTTTCATTTGAAGGTGACGATATGCAGACGTCGCAAAAAGAAACTGAATGATTCTGCAAACAAGAGTTCTAATATACCTTCTTTGACCGATAGATATACACCGTCAAGACTGTAGCGGATTATAAATAGGTAGTTAAATCTCACCGATCACAAGGATAATTAAGGACATGAAAATCATAACCTGCTGAAATACCATTCACCGTTTCAGGAATGCTATATATTTTCTCCATATCGCTGGACAATAAATGAGCAAGTCGATGGCTATAGTCAAAAAATGCACACCTCCGATTGCGGCTTTGTAACGCCCCGCTTATTTTTCACTCGAAACTGACCAAGCAAACTTAAAAACAACCCACGGTATTTTATTAAATTTGGTTTGATTTTTTTGCTCTCACCTAAAAATATTCTTAGAAAATTTCAAGGGCACATTTTGGTTATGTTTTAGACATCAAAATAAAAGAATAAAACAAAAACTGAGATATTTAAATGTCGCTGTATAGAGGGACATAGTTTTCGACTTGAGCTATCCATGGCATACACTAAGATCCATTTTTATTTTATTTTTCTCTCTCTCTCTTCATTTGATACAAAAATCGCCAGAAAAATTGTTGAAAAAAGTGTTATCTTAGTGGGAATATTCCTAATAGACACAATTTTAATAGTGAGACGGGACAATCCTACTGATGTTATTTGTGCGTCATATTGCATCCTTCTTCCTCTCCCTGTCCAAAAAAAAAAAGACCGACAAAAGGACCTATCACCTCCTAATGACTAATGAGGCGGCTACTAGCGCCTCTTGTGTAAAAATTAAATACAAGCGGTGATCATTCATCTAGTCTTGAAACGGCTCATTCAACCTCGGAGATTTAGAACTTCTGTGATTATTAGAGCGCCGCCCAGCAGACGCCGTCATGTCTCCGACCGCTGCCTCTCAGAATACGCCTCGCTCGAAACCCAAAAATTAGGTAAAAATAAACTTTGTAACAGCTAAAAACGGCCAAACACTAAAATTTTATGAGCTAAAAGTAACTGCAGATAAACTTAAGTATTTCCAGTGCTAAATTATTTTATTCGTTAATCGAATGCTGCCAATATCCGAGGCCCTATATGTATAATTAAAATTAGCAGATTTTTGTCTAACTTACTTGAAGTCTCAGCGGTACCTATTAATTTATCTATAAAATTTATTAATTCATTTTAAATTATTATTTTGATCAACTCAAGCAAGCTCCCAAGTCTGCAGCTTTGTCTACATTAAAAATATAAGAAAATTGTATATCGACACAAATACAAAAAGAAACAAATCTTATTTTCTTTTTCGGGCAAATTATTAATATAATAATCTTAACCATTTACTGTTTTATGAGGAATGATATTGGAAATTATGAATTTAAATACAAATTAAACATCTTTTTTATAACTCCATACTTGTAATTTCTTTCGTTCAGATTATTTTGGAATGAAAATATAATGAAAGGATACAGATCTGGCGTCCATCACAAGATTTTCACTCATCTTAATCCTGCTCTCGTAGAAGTCCGAGCATAGTGGTCTTTATTTTAATGATTTGGAGAAGAGATAAATCTCTTATATGAGCTCCTAAATCTATTTACGATTTTAAAGCTATTGAGTAAAAAAATTGAATTAACCTCACAAAGGAACGATAAGCACAGCCAAAATAAAGTTATAAACAAATATTTTAAAGATGTATGCGTTTAAATTTTGTTTATAAACTTGATAACGACTCACAATCTGAAATAACTAGTGTATTTTCAAAACAGAAACTTATAAAATTCCGCAGCTTTATGCACAAAAATGTGTCTGTAAGTTTGAAGTCGTTAAAAACTAAACTTTTTCAAACCACAAATTGATGGACGCCAAAATATAGTCAATGATACTCGGCATGTTCTTTTGCGTTATTCTGAAAATGTGATAAAATTTCTGATGCTGTCCCATCAATATTTTAAGGGAGAAAATATTATTTAAAAAGTATTTAGTATCAACTTTTTTTTTTTTTTGAGAAATCTTACCAAAAGTTTGTCTCAAAACTTTCTGTGAATATTTTTTCTTTCAAAATATTTGCAGAAAATTTCAATAAGTTTCCATTATTTAGAAACAACTGAAGATTTTTGAAACTTCATAAAGGAGCAAAAAAAAAGGCAGAGAAGAGAAATGAAAATTTGTGAGTTATGCTCCGGAATTTTATTGCCGTTACGCGATCCCTGGGAAACGGAAAATGTAGCCTGGAAATTGTGTTGGAAGGGGCCGGGCTAATGTTCATAGGGATTAACCAGTGCGTTTTTCTGCGTCTTGTTTTCTAAAAAATATCACCATTATCATATTAAATAAATAACAATGGCTAAAGTGTGAAACCACGTATCTCAGCTTGCGATCCATGCGCTGCAGACTTTCGGCCTTGTTTATCCTTTGAAAAACTGGTCAACTAAATTTCTTGAAAACGCCCTTGATTTTTTTCTTCATCAGCAAAATATTCTATAGAAATTTTAAACTGTAAAGTTGACTTGTTTCTACTCGAAAAACTAAAATAGGAGCAGAGATTTTGAAACGCCGCAATGGAGATACGTGTTTCTCCACTTTAGCCATCGACGAGGCCTCAGACTCCGAAAATATTCATTTCTTGTCATAACTTACTTCTGGGCTGGGCAGACATACCATCCGCGTTCCGGGCTCAGAGGCCGAAAGCTCCGGGCGTAGTACCCCGAGCAATCGAAGCTACGGCTCCAGCACCTCAACCTCCAAGCCTGAAACGGACGGTATGTCTATATAACCCGTAACTTCTTCTCTGTCCTAGGGATCTGCAGCCTGATTGTTGATCACAAAGCGGTTAGAGAGCGTAGCCCTCAAGTTGATAACAATAGAGCAATGATACTAACCTGAGTGGCTGAACTCGGAGCCGATGTGATCCAAGTGTGGTCGCCAGTGGCAGGGGTTCTGGAAGCGGTGGATGAAGGCATCCGGCCCCTCCTGCTTGGGCCCGGTGAACTTGTTCGGGTCCAGGATGTTCTCCACGGAGAACGCGAGCCGCCTCTCGCCCGGGCGCCGCTCGCTCGACCCCGAACTCTGGTTCTTCAGGAACGTCTCGTGGTCGCGGGCCGCCTCCTCGTCCGAAGACGCGATCGGACACGAGTCGTCCGCCGAGAAGTCCTCCGCCGACGACCGAACCGGCGAGCCCAGCGTCAGCCGCACCGCCAACGAGGACCCCTTCGTCAGGTCCACCGGTGAGCCCACCTCGATGTCGCCGTTGACATCGTCGCAGGCCATCTCCTCATCGTCCGGGTGGCTCTCCGTCGGGTTCTCGGTCATCGGTGAGTTGAGCGTTGAGTCGTTGACCGGGACCGGTTTGAGGAAGGCCGAGCTTGGGTGGTGGTTCAGGCCGCGCTTCTGCTCGGGGGCCTTCTCCTGCCGGGGGGCTTTCGAGGGGGGCACCGGGGGCTCCAGGCCTTTGGGCTCCGGGTACGAGTACTTGGTGAGGTCCGCCTCCGCGTGGTCGTTACTTTCTTGAAGTAATCGCTGCATCATCATCATCGTCATTCTTGAAGGTCGTTTCGCAGGCTCCGGGAGGAAATTTCAGGCATTATAATCACGCGGGCATTCTTACCGACGGCTTCGGTGCACTGTCAAAGTCGGTGGAAAGCATTTTTAACATCCGTCTTGCGGTTTTTGATCCGCACAAGATTGTCTTTAAATCAGCTCGAATATTTTCCAAAACTTACAGGCAACATTTTGTAATTGCTTTATTGCACCAAATTATTCACAAATTCTTGACAAAAACGTTTAGAGAAGATAAAGTAATAACAACGGTTATGACCTTTAAGGATTTGAAATGTACTTTAAGACCCGGAACAAATTGCACACATTTTTTCCCTCGTTAAACGCGATTTTATCAAGGTTTGAACATTGATAAGATAGCATTCCCTTAAGTCAAAATAATTTCCGGTAATTATTCAAGCGTCAAATTATGTTAAACCGAAATGTTTCTTTGAAGAATCAAGAACCTACCACGCATAAAATTGAACGGCGCTTAGAATGCATTTTTACACACTTGAATTCAAGCTTTCATTCCTTAGATTTCACTTACTGAACTATAAACTTCCTTTATTGCACTGGGATAACGCGTTCAAAAAACCTTTTTTTATTCGAAACGCAGGAACGTTGCAAACACATCCGCGAGTGAAAACATACCATGAGACTTACGCTGTTTTAAAAAACAATACGTTGATTTTTGAGAACTAAACGAGCACTTCATCACGCATTTTGAACGAAAATGTTAATGTCAGGCATTCAAACGTGCATGATTACACACGCACAGATTTCCAGCATTCCTTGTTCGTTTGAATCAACCCCACAATCGAACGTCAATTCCTCGGATAGGAAACCGGCTTGAACTTTCGGTAAACCTGTTCGTCACGTGTTCAAGCATCCATGAGGCACAAGATGACCATGCGAGTAGGTCTCGGACGCTGATTCGGCGAAAGACCCGCGGGCGAACTGATTCGAGCGAATGGCAGCGGCAACGGAACGTTTAACTAAAGAGCGGGACCAGTCGGAACGAAAATATTATTCGGAATCGCGGCGATATCCGGCGGGCGGGAGGGCGGAGGCGCGTCTAATCCGCGATTGGCTGCTCCGCGGAGGCTCGCCGACTCCTCATTGGGCCGCGGGAGGAGCCGCCCCTCCTCCCCCCGCCAGCCATCCCTCCCGCCGCCACTTAGCGGGGTGTTGATTTCCTGCTCTCCCGTTTCCCGTTTTATTCGCTCCATTCATCCGCGCGCGAGTTTTGGTTGATAATTTCCTCTTAAATAGTTTAATTATGGGATCCCTACGAGGCGTCCCGGCCCCGTCGCACCTTCGTCCCGTCGTTTTTATTTCTCCGCCTTTCTCCCTCCCTCCTCGCCTCTTTCCATCCGCCGGAGAGGAAGTTCCTCTCGTCCCTGGTTCTTTTCTTGGTACTCGCAGTCGCTTTTGTCGGTTGCGTTGACAAGAAAAGTTCTTTTTCGCGAACCGAACGTTGGGTGCTCTATACTTTTTTCTTCTTCTTCTTCTTCTTCTTTTTTTTTTTTTTTTTTTTTTTTTCACATAATATTTTATTAAAGAGCATACAAATTGAAACCAATATTGACAGATATTGGCACAAGGGCCTAAGTGAGGCACTTCTTCGGTATGTTGAGATGACAGTTGCGACAGACAAGCCCTTAACGTATTTCCTTTGTTAACACCGCTTGTACAAATTGGCTGATGGTCTGCCAATTATTTGCTGAAGAAAGCATAAAATCAACAATAGTGGAGGGTTCTAATCTGTATGATGTCTTTATTTCTAAGTCGTAGCGGAGATGATGGCTGCTCTATACCTACTGCCGTGCTAAGGAAAAACACCGTATGAACCTTCAGGCGTTGTCAAATTTCCTTTCATACGCGCGAATTTCCTGGTAAGTTTATGAATATTTTTTCTCCAATTTTTCGGATAATTTAGTTCACGGTTTTACCTAAAGATTCTGAAAATTTAAAGGAAAAATATTCATAACTTGCCTCAAAAATGGACATTCTATCGGAGGAAATTTGGCAGCTTTCGAATTTTCATACGGCATTCTTCCTTAGCAGAGCAGTATAGATGGCCTGAGCTATTCGATTCTTAAACTGAATAGATCGTATCCGATAACAGTTTGATTTATCGCTTGGTTCAAAGCAATGGAACATAACATCAAACAAAAAATTTAGGATGTAATTAAGTTGAAAAATGAAAATGAGAAAATTCCTGCTTAAAAACCCTCTGATTTGTAGTTCGGGATTAAAAAAATCTGAAACACATTTAGAGTTGAAATACACGGAAAAAAAGTATCACAATCCCAAATATACTCCTAGCTGTTTGGCGCCAGATATCAGAGTGTTTGCGCAAGCCAGAGGTATGATTAAGTCAACTGAGATTGTGGTTGGATCAACCATACCTCCAGCTGGTGTCCTTTCAGTCAGCATTAATGTGGTTGGATTAACTATACCGCTAGTTGATGCTTTCACACTTCTAACCAGTGCAACTGCTAATATGGCTGGCTCAAAAATCAGCTGCAAGTGTAGTTGAGATTGTGAATTTTTTTTTATTTTCAGTGCGCCTTCAATTGCGCGAAGAGTGCAGTATGCGCTCCTAAGTGTCGAAATAGTAGTATACATGGCGCCTGTGCTCAGGCCCGCCACATCCCATCTCGGGCCCTGGTACCAAAATTTTCTGGCCCGGGCCCCTAACACAGGGGGGGAGGGGGTTGGTCCGGGGGGCCTCCCCCGGAAAATTTTAAATCTATTTGGACGCATTATGAAGCTCTTATGAAGGAGATTTTCCATCAATTTCTGCAGAATAATTACGCTTTTTTGTTTACTTTCAGCACCAAAAACTTTCGAATTGTTGCATTCAAAACATCTATAAATTTTTTTTTGAGGGGGCAGATGATAATTTTCAATTCTATGGGGAGCCGGGCCCCCCTGGACTCCCCTTTCGTACGTCTATGGCAAGGGAGTTAAGCCATTGAAGTCGAGGATGCCCAGAAAGGAGCCTCTTAGCATCCGACAACGGAAGAAAATGAAACACAGTTACTAAAAATATCATTCTACATATACTCAAAATCTTGAAAATCTCTAAAAAAGTAAGAAAAATTTTATAGTGCCCTAGCGTGTTTTTGAAACTTTATTCACCTTTTGCGGAATTTTTAGGGTAATTTTTTTACTTTTCCCTACGAGACAAGGGTTACACATGAATTCGTAGTGGTTTGTCACCTGCGTCACGGGCCCCTCCAGGGCCCGGGCCCCGGTACCAAGGACCCAGTATCCCCCCCCCCCTTGTGGCGGGCCTGCCTGTGCTTACGAAATACTAAGAACTTCATTTCCAATTCTGAATAGTATGAAAACAATTTTTCATTTCATCATCACTCGCCCTCTCATAAAAACCCTTAGACTTTCGCATGGGCGCCTTTTCTTTTATTATTTGATACTTGAATTGACTTTCAGGGAGGGTATTATATCGACGGTGCAAGTCGGCAATCATATAACTCGTTTGCGGTGTCTGAAAATCTCCGCCTCTATGTTATTTTTTTAAAGGAGAACAAATTGACATCATTCTTTGAAGTTTTTGCAGAATTTTCTTCACACAGAGAAGAAAAATTACCGCAGTTTTAAAGAATTGCCGTTGAGTAGGTTTCCGTTTAAAAAATAAATTATAACAGGAAGTCTGCGACGTCGCAAACCGAGTTATGTGATTGCCGATTTTCACCGTCGATATACACCCACATCTCACAATCCCACACTGTCTCCGTCGTAGTTTTTTACTGGTATATTTTGACTGATATTATAATACAAGATATAGAACAATAAGTTTTTTTTAATTTTCTTTTTATTTCAAGGAACTTACGAATAAAGTTGAAAAAGCAAAATGGAAGTATACAAAACTAATGAACTGTAGACTCAAATATTGAAGTAAAAATACCAGCCTTTCTGTTTGGATATGTTCACAGAGCACATCATTGGATGGGTTCTGCTCAAAATTATTAATACCTCAATCTTTTCATAAAGTCCCGATTTCATTCGTCGTATCCTCTGTTTGAAAAATAAAAACTAATAAATTATAAGGCATGTGCGGTTGTACAGAAAAAATGTGCGACGCTTGAATACAATAGTCTCGACACAAACTACTCACTCTGCAAAAAAAGATGCTCATGTTGATAGCAATGTTGTTGAAATGAAGGAAGATAGTATCCTTACATTTTAATCGACTCTGATACATCTGTTCTTGGACTAATAAATTAATTGAAGAAAACTTAGTCTGACATTCCCTATTCTTGTGAGCGTCAAAGAAATGAAATACCGAAGAATTCTTGTAAATATTGTGTTTTCATGTCACAAAGAGGGGAGAGGAAAAAAATTTAAACGCAAAAAAGATTGGACCCAATGAATTGAAGACGCGTTTTTTTCGTACTTTATGGCACAGACGGAATCGGTAATTTTTGTCAACTACTGCCAGTGAATCAGTCGCAACTGTAGCGAGTGTTTTGGAGTCCTTTGAAATTAGCCTGTAGTGCAATTCTGAATATGACTAGTTATTTTTCAGGCAAATTAAGCACGGATTGTTTTACTAGATCGGAAAAGTTTTCTTCATTTAGTGACAGCGTCAACCGCCTTCAATTGTGCGAAGTATGCAGCATGCGCTCCCAAGAGTCGTAATAGTGGTATCAGGCCCCTGCACCGAGAAAATACTGAGATATTCTTAAATTAAGAAACCTGTGAGAACAATGATTCCTGCCATGATTTTAACTATAACTTACCAATTGATAAGTATGGGAAGATCCATCAATTACAGGTATAGCCCTGTGGTCACGTGATACGCGTATAGAATAACATCCCAGAAACAGCCCGTGTTTGAAATACTTTTATTTTTTATTTTTTTAAAAAAACAAGGTTTTCATCATCCCAAAGAGGTTAACAAATGCCAAACGTTAAAACGCCCCAGTTGTTTTCTAAAAACTTTTGAATTATTTTTCAAATGTTTCCTTAAAATATTTTCCTGAAAGAGTGAACAATATATTTTTCAAAATAAACTTTATTTGTGGGCATTCTATTAGAAATTAGAGATTTCGAAGAATCAGTGATTTTGACCGGTCCTCATCAAATTTTGGGTAAAGACCGTACAAAACACCTTTTGAATTGCGCAAGTGAGAGTCATACACATTCTGAATTCTGTACCAACTTGGAGAGGATATACCGTCCAAGCCAATCGGATAATAGCGTGTATAACCCTTTCGACGAAAATGCTGAGATAGTGTTTCATGTTCCATTCTCTGAAGCGGGTAGCGCTCCCCGTCTACCGGGCGAGGGGTGGCTCAGATAAGGAGCAAAGAGCGAAACAATAGCCAACAAGTGTTATAAAGAAACGAAGGACCGCGAGTAATAAACCGCGAAAATGAGCCGTAATTTTAACGGATCAAACGACGCACGATACTAGAAATTAAGCGGCGGGCACCGCTCGGTGGGCCAAAGACTAGCTTTTTAGGAACGGTTGTAATCGATTGGGAATTTTTGGCCGGAGGTCAGACAGCTCAACTAGAGTACCTTTATAGACAGAGTATGGCCATTTCTGTTCCGATTTTTCATTGGTCGCGAGCGAACAGGCTGACACGATGCTCTTAGGGCCGTAAATAAACAAAGAAGATGGCTGTTATCAGCAAGCAAGATTGAGGTTATGCACATCTTACATCCTCCTGTGATAAAGGTGTGAGGCGGTTTAACAATAGTTTTCGTGTGTTATTCGTAGATATGCTAGTTTAAATTGTTACTGCCGTATAATTGAAATTTTTGTCAAATTTAGCTTCTTATCGATGTTACGGTGAGTCGCCATCTTGTTTGTTTATTTACGGCCCTAAGAGCATCATGAAGCCTAAAAACTCGTTGACCAATCAAAAAGCGGAACAGTTTTCCTGTAGTAAAAAGATACGAATGGCCATACTCTGTCTATAAAGGTACTCTAAGTTCGACAACAAAGAGCAAATGGCAAAT